GGAGGAAGCGCAAGAGCTTTACTTTCGTATGCAAGTATGCCGTGTACGTCAACTTTTGCGATATTTTTTTTGTATACAAAAAATAGATAACACCAAGATCAAAAAATGCACATACGTGTGCAGCACGGTCACAAATCCACGCACCGATTGTCGCAGATTAACGGGGGGAAAAAACGCGTTTTAGCGAAAGCGACTTTCAAATGCGACCGTAATGGAAATTCGGAGTCCGTGACCGTCAGTGAAGTTCGAGGACCGAATGGGTTTCATGAAACGATGTAAAAGCGGGTTAAGCAGATATCCAGAGCGGCAGCAAATACGAAGGCCCGAATACAACGGGAATTGGCGCTTCCCGAATAGCGCGCAAAAGCAATTAAGCATCCGGCGCGTAATTTCACGAAATTATCCGTTGTCCGGCCATGCGCGAACAACCCGACGATATTATATCTTTGACGAGACAGAGACGGAGGGAGAGAAAGAGAGGGACGGAAAGAGATACATCCATTTCCGATGGCAAGCGAGACAAAGAGGGAAAAGAAGGGCGAGAGAGAGGGACAGCGGGATAGAAGGATGTCGCGTATGAGCATAAACAGAGGGAAGAAGATAAATCGCCGGCGCAATATATCATGCGTCAAAGGCGAGCGCAATATTTCCCCGCATCGAAACAGGACCAGAAAACTCGTCACTCTCCGGTCGGTATGCGGAGTCGAAAATAAACTCGCGCCTCGCGTTTCTCCCTTTTCTGGTCGCTATTTGTGATACGATGCGGCAGCAACGACGACGGCTACGGTTTCCTAGCGCGAATTCCGCGCGTGATCATCGCGCGCGGCACTGAAAAATAAACGAGTTTTATAGCCGAGGTGATCAAGTTTCACATTTATCTCACGTTGCGTAGCTACGGTACGATGATTTTTGTTCCGCGATCAAGACACGCCGTTTCAAAGTCCCTGTGACGGCGCGGTTTTTATTATTACCCCGAGCTGTCCGATGTTATTAATACTCTTAATTGGAGCCTTGTGGAGAACAGATATTTACCGCCGTTCTCCATTTCAAATTTGTTTAACGTCGTACTGTACGCTAGCTGGTAAAATTGCTTCAAGTCAATATTTGAAATACCCGTCAATATTTTAATACAAAGTATAACTCTAATTTTGTTATTCTATTATTTCTATTATTCTATTATTCTAAAAAAATAGCTAATGTATATTTTCTCTACATTACAGGTAGCGTTCTAATTCATTGCAGTTTTTTTTAATTCATTGCAGTTCTGAAAAATTAGTATTTTATACGCGCGCTGCCTCACGCGCTTGCCTAATTTTCCAGAGTTCAACAACACTGCTAAATTATTGGCGAGAGCCCCTATCCTCCCCCCCTCCTCTCTCTCTCTCG